AATTGTATTAATATTTTTTTAACATAACATCACGCCTTTTATCCCCGAAGGGGTAGGCAGAGGTGCACATTATACCACTGTACAATGTAACACCCACTTTTCACTATTTATATTATGAGTCCCATGTAATAATTTTTTTAAAGTAATTTAAATAGAAATAAAACTGATTTCGGAACCGCTGTTTTCAATTAATAATTTTTACATACATAAGTTATTCTGCAAAATGTGACGTCAAACTAGGGGAGGGGGAGTCCCACATATGTGACTAGCTGTAACAAGGACGGGGGGAGGGGCAAAAAATCATGAAATTCTAGTGACGTAATTTATGGATGACCCCTAAGCTGCAATAATGGGGGTATCAGAAAGAAAAAAAAAGGAAGAGAAAATACATTTATTCAGCACCTAGCATGATGCAGCATAAAAAAACATAAAAAGACAATATAAGATAGTGTGAAAGTAAGATGAACAGTGAGTAAAGAAATTAACTCGTCGAGTACCGGTTTTGTAGACACAATTATAGAACAATAGGTTGCGGTGGTCACCGGTGACCGCTTGGTGTTCAACAGTTTAAAACAGAACAATCAGAAAAGAAACGAAAACAACATGCCTACGTTCAATAGGTTACTCACTCAGTGTAAGCTAGTCGCACATCACCCAACACTGATTTTCAGTGGGCACCCTTGCAATGACACATGGATGGTAGCAACATTTTATGGTTAGACAAAGACAAAAAACAAAGCAATGGAAATATTTACTTATCCACTAATTAATGTTATTTTGTTCTACAGACATGTAGGAATGTTGTTTATTTTATAACTGTTTGTTGTCCCTAATTCCCAAAATTAGCAAGTTAACTCTTTCAGTCTTGGTGGTCACTGTAACTAACCACCGTTTCTTAGAAATTCAATTTTTTAAGTATGCTCCAAATTACTTTGCATTGGTTTTTAAGCATTTCAGTATAATTGAATAAAATATATTCGTAACCAGTTAAAAGTGTGACTGAAAGAGTTAAAGCAAACAGTATTTGTATGTTTGGTTTGATAAAGATTATGGAAGTTTTTAATTTTTATTTGTATACATGTAATAAGTAAGTACAAAATATTGATTGAGAAGCAACTAGTAATTTATAAATTGTTTCAATGCACTCACTCTTTTATCCTGCAGTACCATTAAAAACAAAAAATGGATGATTGCAATGAGGACAAAAACTACATGATATTTTAAAAAATAGGGGTGCACACTACAAATATAATATGCATTTCATAATTTTGAAAACTTTTAGCTCATAAATAGCTTCATCCTCTCTAAAAAATTTTAAAACATAATCTAAATTCATTTCACTTCCGGTGACATGGGTACAAAGGTAGAGACAAGCACTTACTATGTTACAATCCTATGATATTTTTTTATTATTTTTGTAGGAAATATCTAAAAATGCATACTCAAGTGAATAAAATAGTAAAAAAATAATATTTGTTTAATATTTAGATGGAGAGGAGTCCAGTGATAGGGCTGTTGTTCCACGTGAGGATACTGACCCTGCTGATGCTGCTTGCTCATGCTGACTTTTACTTCATCCACCATGCATACCAGTTCACAGCTGTAAAGGGACCTTCCGTTCAACTTGTATTTGGCTTTGAGTACAGCATTTTAATTATAATGATTGTCAATATATTGATTAAGGTGAGTTGTCAAATGAACTTTGTTCTTGTTACTTCTTTTATGTATCAGCAGTCATCAATAGAATTAGTAATAAAAATAAAAACTGTTCCTTAAACTTCTGATTACTTTAAAATTACCTTGAAACTTTAATGTGGTCTAGTATTGATATGCCCGTTATTTAATAAACTGTGTAACTTAATGTTTCAAAAACAGCTATATTCAGAAGATTTTGTTTTCCGATTAAAATTATCTTAAGTAGGTGCTAGTATATGTATGTTCAATATTAGTTCATAATGTAAACGACTCATTTGAATATTCATTCCCACAGTATGTTCTCCACGCTATTGACTCACGCTGGGAAGCCCCATGGGAGAGCAAAGCCGCAGTGTTGCTGTACACGGAGTTGGCCATAAACTTCCTTAAAGTACTCCTTTACATTGGGTTTGTAGCCGTCATGGTGAGGATCTATACACTACCACTCTTCGCATTCCGACCCATGTATGAAACTATGAGGTGAGTATACAAAAGAGGTTACAAATTATTTCTTTTTTATTATGCCAATCAATATTTTAATTAGGAGTCGCGTAGAACATTTTGTGAAAACATAACGTACATTATATTGTATAAAAGGTATTGTGTTAGAAATGGGCTTTTTAGTTAATGCTGTAATAGAGAGTAATAGTATCTTGTGGGAGTTGAGTCATACTCATATTAATTAATTGGAACATCTGTTTTGGTTTTGGGGTGATTTAGTTTATAATTAGATTTAATACAAAATAACTGAAATACTAGTTCACATGGGTGCATTGAACTTGAGTAATAAATAAGATTTTTTTATGTTCATTATGATAAAGTTGTAACATCACCATGACTTGACACTATTTTGTAACAAACATGTTTACATGTAACAAAGTATAGTTTTATCTAGATTCAAGATCTTTTTGAAACATAAATATGTATCTGCAGTCATTCGAAGAATTTACACCTAAACTTTGTTGTCAATGAAGTGCATAAGATGCATAATAAGATTGCATAAGAGATAATGGAGTAGAATACAATGGAGTGCTAAGTGGGGTCGAGGTCAGGTATAATGGTTGTTATGATTGCAGGAGTTTCAAGAAAGCGTATAATGACGTGGTGCTGTCGAGGCGCGCGATTCGCAACATGAACACTCTGTACCCGGACGCCACTCCTGCAGAACTTGCAGCCGCCGACAACGAGTGCATTATTTGCCGCGAAGAAATGCATACTGGTATGCAACAATTACTTTACATTCACACATTTTTTCACAACAAACGTCATAGATAAGTAAAGCGATAAAGTGAAACGTGACTTATAATCAATACCAATAATTACATAATGATTTCAACGATTTTTGTTATTCGATTTGCATAATTTTAACTTGTGTGTACTGTTTTCATGCTCGCTATTTATTATTGAATTTAACTTTCGTGTCGATAAAGTACAAGGTTGGTGAAATCTGAGCTCGTGTGGTTGAGTTAAGATTTAACTGGTACGTGCGAGGTTACATGACCTGAAATACCTACTAAGTAATTATTGTGGCCGTGTGTGTGTATCTACCTAATATTAGTAACATTACACATGTACCTATATTAGTGACTGGGTTGGGTATACTTTATGCATATAATAGAAGTAGTGTAGTAAATAATAATGTAATTTTATTTCAGGTGCGAAGAAGTTGCCTTGTAATCACATATTCCACGCGGCGTGCTTGCGGCTGTGGTTCCAGCGACAGCAGACGTGTCCGACGTGTAGACTGAACGTGCTGCGAGCGCCGGCGCCCGACGCGGCGGCCGGGGCGGCCGGGCCTGCGCCCCCCGCGCCCCCACTGGCAGGCCTCGCGCCACACGCTGCGCCCGCGCCCCCGCCACCCGGACCTGTACCTCCACCCTTCCCGAATATGCCTCCACCACCACGTGAGATTCACTTTTCAATATTCAGTAATTTGTTTCCATGTCAAAGAAATTTTAAACCAAACATCAATAAAATTTCCTGCCTTTAGTGTTTTAGTGAAACTATTCGTATGTTCCAATTTGCAGATCTTCGACAACTACTTATTATATTTTGAGCAAACAACTATCTTTTACATCTATTCGTTAATCTTTGATCTTAATAGGCGGCAATATCGCTGTAGTACAACAATCAACAACTACTGGATAATATATCTATACTAATATTATAAAGAGAAAAGATTTGTACCTATTTTTGTATGTTTGTAATGGGCCGATTTAAAAAATTCTTTCATCAATAGAATGGTACATTCTTCCAATTTGACATAGGCTACATATCATTTTGATAAAAAAAAAATTGTCTACCCCGTGCGAAACCGGGACGGGCTGCTAGTCTTTAATATAAATGAAGAATGAATTTACAAAATATATCTGTTTGTGGTACAGCTATGATGGCGTGGGGTATGCCACCGCCCCCGCCGCCGCGGCCTGCGTCCCTTGCCAACCTGACCACCGCGGAGCTGCAACGCATGGAGGGCAATGAGCGCAGGAACATTGAAGCGAGGCTACAGGTAAGTTTTCATTTATTACATTAAAACAACACTAGAAACATGTAAAACATGGACTGAGAAATCCCTTGATGAATTACGAAAACTCAAAAGCATAAAACGAAGCGTATTAAGTAGACATACATATTAAATTATTTCTAATTCAATACGTTTATACGCTCAACATACGTTATGCCTCTTATAGTTGCTTCGAGAAATTCAAGCAATGTTGGACGCATCAGTGCTGCTCATGCAGCAGTACTCGACGGTCGTAGCGAACTTACCGCAGAACAACGTCACTGTGTCTACGCAGACGGAAACGTAAGTATTTAATCAAGTAAAAAAATAAAGACATTTCAACACGACTCTTATAATACAAAATCCGATATGTGCCTAATAAGGGCAATCTTAATTTAAAAAATTTCAATTTAAAATATACACGAGGAGACAGAGTGCTCCGTATTGAGCTGTCGTCATAAAATTTATTACATACATAGTATCTATGGGTTGACTAATTAAGCCTCTGCTGTGTGGTCCAGTTGGTTTATTAACTAAACAATAATCTAAATTAGGGTTTTTCAACCTTATTCGTACTACGGCCCTTACCCATTGTTTTTTTGTAACTAATATTGATTCCAATACATTTGCCACCTCGTACTTGTGCGAGTTAATATTTTCGTCAATGACCCAAAAAAAACAAAGATAGACATCGTTTAAATTCGGGAAATGATGTAATTCTGAATGCAGTAAAAACGAATCCACGATGGGCGATATTGGTGAATGAAAAACACGCGCACCTTCGCATTCCCGGTACTTATAAGTTCATTCCAATTTTTAGTGTAATGCTAGATAAATGATTATTGATGGGAAAGATCTCAGAAGGTATTATTATTTTTTGTTCATACATATTATGATTAAGTATGTCTTTTATTTAGTTAATAGTTTTAATAAATCTTTAAAACTGTCATTGTTTGTGTCATTGTTTGTTTTTTACTGCTGTAGTATTCCAACCTTTTAGTAACTAAATAAAGCTGGATAGGCTTCGAGTCGACCCACAGGTAGAAAAACCATGTTCTAAATAAAACAACTAGATGAAGATACGGGCACATTAACATTAAACAAAAACACATATTGACCCATTTTTCGACGACTTGCACTGTACATAAGTATTTTTTATAGGAGAATAGAAGAGTTAACCAAGGAGTCTCCAATATCGACGACTCAAGGGAAGTCGGAGCCGGACGTGGTGCCAACCACTTCAAGCTACAAGCAACCGTCGCCGGTGCCCTCCACCAGCAAAACTATTGTCACGGAGGACACGAGTCCCATGCAGCCTGATACTACTACTCCCGTAGACACTAATAGGTAATCATTTATCATTTTGATTTCCGAAAGACAAAATTTTTACCCATCTCAATTCAAAATCTTTACACTAATAGAATAGAATAGAAAGTGGTTTATTTCCCGAGTTCATATGTTACAATAATGTCCACGGGTTTATGGTGTGTTCGACCTGTGGTTGTGTCAGCTACTTAATGTCTACATATTATGTTTGCCTGAGAGAGATCTATATAAGTGTCGTGTAGTGTGTTTGTTCTTTAGACGAATGCGACGGAATTTCTGTCAAAAACCTAAATCAACCCCGAAATTTCACATCGGTTATTCATTTCAGTACAATATATCAATCAAGACGTTTATCTCTGTTTATGTGGAACTCACAGAGTAGATGTCTTGTACAGTAACTATATTTACACAAGTAGGTAGTATGCTATTCACTTCAAGTATGTAATGTATGTAAGAGGCGGGAATTCAGACAAAACTCATACTATACGAAGTCCTTCGCATCAAGCTTTCTTGTGCGTACTGCTAAGGACTGGAATTCTTTGCCAAAGTCTGTATTTCCTGAAAGGTATAAACTGGACGTCTTCAAGGCCCGAGTGAAACTATAGTTTTTTCTTCTTCTTTTCTTATAATATCTTCTGATTCACTTCGTTGTGGGAACCAAGACAGTTACTCATGTCCCTGGGACTGGACTTCAGTGATCCGGTGTTTTCATGGTTGTGTCTACTGTAGATCCTGGCTTACAGGAGTTGCAGCGGTTTTGGATGGTTGTGGCGGGCTTGTCCCATTAAAAAAAAGTCGTCAAATGTTGGCCTATCAAATATAGAAAAAATAAGTAAGATGGAGTATCTGATCAGTCTACAAATGGGTCAAATGTAATTGATCTCTGTTTTTATTTTCCAGAGACAAGACTGATGTGGACGCCGCCGACGAGTTGAGAAGACGTCGATTGCAGAAGTTTGCGGTGGATAAATGAGCTTGTTTATATATTTTCGTTTCGATTTATTGATGTACTATTATTTAATGTACAAAGTGTTTTGGTATGTGTAAGCATTATCTATTCTAATTCTAATCTGAATAAATGTATTTATGTTCTTGTAAATATAATGGGATATACACATGAATACATTACAATCATACTTTGCTTTCTTGTCAGATACATAATCTTACTATCTATCTATCTATTCTTTCTGACTATGTATAGGTTTGGTGTTTTTTGTATTTGAAGTGATAGATGAGACCTTCAATAAATATATAGCAAGTTTGAATAATAGCTGTGAGAGAAGAGTTGTGATGAAATAAAACAATTTTTACACTATTTAATTAATATAATTAAACTACTCTATTAGGTAAACTCGGTGGCTTAACAGTTGTATAAAGCATTTATGTACCCATATACTTTGTTGTTATAATTCTCTAAGACAGGCATTCCACCAAAGTAACGACTGGAGCCATACAGTTGGAGGTTGTTCTTGCAGTACCAAACATTCTTAGTGCCCTCAGTTCCATCTACATTCAACGTGTTCAATTCCAAAACCCCAAAATGGTATTTTTGACCATCTGTTTGTATGCAATTAATATATATAGGTTCTGGTAGGTCTTTTACATCCTCCTGTAAGAAAACATACACATATTTATTAGTATATTGTAATATTTAGTTTTGGAGAAAAGCATGGAATAAACTGTGTTATTCATAATATGTCATTCATTATCATTTCAAAGAAACTAACCTCATCTAAAACCCATTTTTTGAACCCGACTTTCATAGAAGATAGGGTTTGTACTATCAAAATTATCTAGCTAGTTCCTCATTAGTTTGGCTAATGAGGATTGTAGTATGTATGCTAAACTCAATACTTTATTCCATTCTATTAAAGGTAGATTTTAATATCCATAGTACTAGTAGTTTTACATGCACTAAATACTAAAACTCATGCCTATGTGCCATGGGGCTAGCACTACCTAGGTAGTTGGTATATATATATGGTATATATGGTAGTTGACAGGTGGTCAAATTCAATACTTTTATTGAAATGTCAAAAACGATACTTTTCTATGAATTTTGTATTGGATCGCAACTTATGACGTCATTATATTTCTGCGTCAAACGCATACTTATTTCATTAAAATTAGCGAGAAAAATTCCAAAAGTAGGTAAATTGTCAAATCAATGGATGAGAATATGATTATTTTTTAATTATTGCATTGAAAAGTTGAAACAATTTATTTTAAACCTAAGAAACTAGCCAATTCTAGGAGGGCAATCTTCTTTGTAATCTATGCTGGAAAGTAGTCTATATCTTAGGTCCTTAATATAAAAACATAACATACTCCATGTAGTTGTTTAGCATAAGCGCTGGCAACAGTGAATGCGTGTGTGAGGGACCTCCCAAGGAGTTGCTGTTCAGTGACGGGGGTCTCATAGATGTTGCTCACTTCAGTTTTGTTGTAGTGCAGCCATGTAGTGTGCGGGTGTCTCACATTTACAGTAGGTTTTATTGCTGGAACACAAAACTAAGATTACTTTTCATTTTAACTCGTTGAGTACCATCATTATAGACACAATTGAAGAACAATAGGTTGCGGTCACCGGTGACCGTGTGGTGTTTGACAGTTTATATTCATAGCATAACTTTGTTAACAAAGATAGAGAAGAAATGGAAGGCCAGGACTTTATATTAAAAATAATATGTTTATCATTAAATTTAGATATTTTCAGAGATTCTTGTTTATGTGACTGCTGGACAAGGGGGTCTCGGGTTCGATTCCCAGATTGGGCAAAAGTATTACTGGGTATTTAAAAAACATGTCAGTACGAGTCTGGAATCGTGCCCCGTATATGGTAATAGGTTCACCCCCTGTGACATGGGACTCGTAACATAAATAGTGAAAAGTAGGTGTTACATTGAAGTGGCATTAACCCATGGTATGCCGGGACCATAGATATACGTGAGACACAATATGTTTTCTATTGTGTCTTATATGCCAGCAGATAAGAGGTTAAGTGTCGTAATGTGCACCTCTGCCTACCCTTTAGAGGATAAAGGGCGTGATGTTGTATATATTCTTGTTTATAAGAAGAAACATTATTGGACTAACTTACTTTCATGACAGAAATTTAGGCAAAATATAGTGTTAACAATAATGAATACTCACGGTATTTACTTTCCTCTTCATAGAAATGTTCAGGTGGTAATGTAACAGTGCATTTAATGGGATGTAGGTCAGGGATCTCATTGTAAGTGACATCTTTCTCTACATCGTGCTTCACAGGCTTGTTGCTGGTTACAAGGATGTGGGAAATGTCTTGAAACTGTATAAGGTCATCTTCCTTCTCAAAAACAGTTTTGCTTTCAACATCATTGAGGATATATCTGGACATTGTGACCTCACTGTCACTGCTCTTTTCTACCAGTTGCACCAATTTGTTTGTTAGGATTTCACTGCAAGTGGAATAGAAGGATTTTGGATTCAGGTATTGTATTTGTCTATTCTTCGAATAAATAAATAAAAAAAATATAATCCAAATGGAATTGGACATGGTCTACTGAGAAGTAACAATTAGAAAAAAAAACAGCTTTCAATTCTGATTGGAATTATTACTGACATATATGTTGATTATAGATGACCATAATAAAGATAAAAAAATCTGTTATACATAAATACATAGGCATTTATAGTAAGTTAACTATGAGTTTATAAATCATTTAACTCGTCGAATACCGGTTTTGCAGACACAATTATAGAACAATAGGTTGCGGTCACCGGTGACCGCTTGGTGTTTGACAGTTAAAGGGCATATATCAAGTCCATAACAGTATGTACTTACTTGCGCCTTCTGTCTGTAATACCCAATACCCTGGGAAAGTTATAGGCTGGTCTTTCACGATCCTTGAGTTTAGGCAACTTCTTTTGTTCACAGTCAAATACATTTGCAGATAGAATGGCTTTCTTTATATTTTCGTGAATAGCAGTTGGAGCGGGCACCTGAGCCAGTTCCTCAATCTTAGGTGGCAGTTTATCTTCGGCTATGATTGTCTTGGTTAGTACTTGTGCTTGCGATATACCTTCTAGGAGCACATTTGTACTTCTTAAGGTAAAACATGGTTGTTTTTTATAAGCAGGGTGATTTTCATCCAGTGGCAGCGGCCGTTCGTAGGGTCCCACTATATTGAGGCTGAAAGTAATCATTTTGTATTAACATTATTGACCGATGAATTACTAAAGAATGCTGGTCGTATGTAGATCTTACTGTTCGTGCTCTTGAGGTTTCTCCTTGACGAATTCAAGTGCATCTTGGATTGGAATGCCTTTAGCTTTTAGCTGTTCCTCGAGTCCAGTATCGATTGGTACGCGTTTACCTTGTACCCGCCAATGTTTCTTGAACATAAAGTCAATGTGTTGTCGATTTAATACTTGTGATAGCCGCATTATTGTGAATATTTAACAACTTAAAAATAATTAACCTGAAATTACAAAATATAACCTCTCTATTTAAGTCAGACTTGACACTTTCGATGACAGTACTGTGACATTGACATATGACATTTGACAGCTATTGTTTTTTTTTTGAATCATTGTATATTTGCCAAATAACTAACTTTACGGCAAGTGGGAAAGTCCGTGGGCGCAAAAGGGCAAATATAAAAATTAAAGCGTTGATTGATAGTGTGTATATATATACTTATGGTCCAAGATCCGAGTATAGTAGGTATATTGTATTGTAATGTATAGAATCTATGACGCCAGTCATGCACGTCGCGCATCATTATGACGTCCCCCAGTTCCCCTTAATTTTTTTAATATGTCTTGATGAATATTGCTTAGTTATTCGATTTCTAACTTTGTAGGATACGTCATTTTCCGACAATTTTATTTTTCACGATATTCTTCTTGCAGTCATGCTGCAACATTTTTGAACCCCAAACAATGGTGATAACAAATTGGAGTCCTAGATATATTGATCGTGATTTAACCATGGCATCGGCTAATTAACGTCCCCACACCGTGGATGGTATTTGCGAGTGCAACGTTGCCAGCTTTGGGTTCACTTGTCTCTTTCTTTTACTCTCTCTTGTCACTCGTCTGGTAGTACAGAGTTTCAACATTATTCCAATATTCGTTAAATCTATCAATACATATTTACTAATGCCCGATAATGATAAAATAATGTTATCTACTAGTAGGTGCCTACTTTATAATTATTATACTACCTATCAATATTGATGGAATGAGCAAGATGAATTAATTGAATTTAATTGGTAGGTACATCAGACAGTGTAA